ATCAATAAAAAATATATATTTTAAAAAACCACTGCTGCTGAGATCAGTTTGACTCAATGGATAGAGCGTGGTCCTGCAGACTGAAGGGTCCCAAGTTCGATTCTGGTCAAGGGCATGTACCTTGGTTGCGTGCACATCCCCAGTGGGAGGTGTGCAGGAGGCAGCTGTTGAATGTTTCTCTCCCATCAATGCTTCTAACTCTCTGTCCCTCTCTCCTCCTCTCTGTAAAAAATCAATAAAATATATTAAAAAACAAAACAAAAAACCACTGTCAAAGTCAAGGTTGTGACAAACAAACCTGTATATTTCTAAGAGTTTTATAGTTTTAGCTCTTATATTTAGGACCTTGATCCATTGTGAATTGCTCTTTGTGATGTGAAGTAAGAGTCAAACCTCATTCTTTTGTATGTGGATATCCAGTTGTAGCAGCACCATTTGTGGAAGAGACTATTCTTTCTCTGTGAATGATCTTTGCACTCTTGTCAAAGAATAGTTAACCATAGCCCTGGCGATGTTGCTTAGTGGTTAGAGTGTCAGCCTGGCACTGAAGGGAGACAGGTTCGATTCCCAGTCAACAGCACATACCTGGGTTGCAGGTTCCATCCCTTGGCCTGGTCAGAGTGTGTGTGGGAGGCAACCAATCAATGTGTCTCTCTCACATTGATGTTTCTCTCCTTCTCTTTCCCCGCTTTCACTCTCTCTAAAAATCAGTGGAAAAAAATATCCTCCAGGGGGGATTAAAAAAAATCTCAATAGATCATAGATATATAGGTTTATTTCTGGACTTTTGATTCTATTTCATTGATATTTTTATCCTTATGCTAGTACCACAATATTTCGTAGTAACTTTGTAGTAAGTTTTGAAATTAGGAAGCTTTATCTCTTAAACAAGATATAAAAGGAATAGCAAAATATCCTATTTAAGAAGTAAGGTGTTGTATGTTGGAGCTATTTGAGGCCTGAGAGAATATAATATCAGAAAAACTTTTGAAATTTCCAAGCATTCATCTCTTCAATTCATAGCCAGCAAAAATTCAGTTCTCAATACTGAAGTAGATTTTATGTTTTCTATGGTAGATCAAGATAGTACAGTCTAAATAAAATAATTGGGATTAAAAATACAAATTCTAGGAAAGCAAGGACCACGTCTCTCTTGTTCACCAGTATCCCAAATGCCTTAGACAGTGCATGGCAAAGAGTAGATACTTAAGAAGATAGTCATGGAATAATATATTTCATATTATAAGTGATTAAAAAGGACTTTCTGTCCTGGCCAGTTTGGTTCAGTGGATAGAGCATCGGCCTGCAGACTGAAGGGTCCCGGGTTCGATTACAGTCAAGGGCACATGCCCAGGTTTCAGGCTTAATCCCCAGTAGGGGCATGCAGGAGACAGCCAATCAATGATTCTCTCTCATTATTGATGTTTCTATCTCCCTTTTTCCCTTCTTCTTTGAAATCAATAAAAAAAACTTTTTAAAAAACAGATTTTCTAAGATATCAGAATTTTGTTCTAAAAATAAGAATTGTTCCAGTAAATATTTTTTATTCAAGCCTATCGTGTGTGTGTGTGTGTGTGTGTGTGTGTGTGTGTGTGTGTATTTGTTTGTTTTATTGGTTGATTTGCATGAGAGAGAGGAGAAAGAGAAACATTGATTTGTTCTTCCACCTATCTATGCATTCATTGGTTGATTTTTGTATGTGCTCTGACTAGGGGATTGAATTCACAACCTTGGCTCATCAGAACGACCCTCTAATCAACTGAGCAACCTGGCCAGGGCTGTCATTTGTATTTTTTTATTTTTATTTTATTAAAATAGCTTATTGCCCTGGCCGGGGTGACTCAGTTGGAGCATTATTCAGTGCACCAAGAGGTCGCCTGTTAGATTTAGCCTAGGTTGTAGACTAAATCCTCAGTAGGAGGTAGCCAATTGACGATTCTCTCTTTCTATCTCCTTTCCTCTCTCTAAAATCAATAAAAACATATAAAAAAAACAAAAACAATAGTTTTGTTAATCCTCACCCGAGGATATTTTCCGTAATGATTTTTTTTAGAGAGAGTGGAAGGGAGGGAGAGAGAAAAAGAAACCAATGTGAGAAGGACACATCGATTGGCTGCCAGAAGGCTCTGACCAGGGCAAGGGATCAAACCTGTAAGCGAGGTATGTGTCCTTGACGGGAATCGAGCCCACGACTCCTCAGTCTGAGGGCCAACGCTCTGACCACTGAGCAACCGGGTAGGGCTAGTTTGTTGATTTAAAAAAATTTTAATATATATTTTTATTTATCTTTAATTATTTATTATTATTTTTTAAATCATCACCTGATATTTTTCCATTGATTTTTAGAAAGTAGAAGAGGGAAAGACAAAGAAACATCAATATGAGAGAAATATTGTTTGCCTCCTGCAGGTACACTGACCAGGGCTCCGGGGTGAGGGAGAAGCCCTTGACTGGGATCGAACCCGGGACCATTCAGTCTGCATGCCCATGCTATATCCACGGAGCCAATCCAGTTAGGTCAGTTTATTGATTTTTTTTTTTTTTTTTTTAGAGAGAGAGAGGGAAAAGGATAGGGAGAGAGAAACATCCATGGGAGTGTGTAAACATCGATCAGCTGCTTCCTGCATGCCCCCTCCCGGGGACCGAGCCACATCCTGGCATGTGCCCTCACCAGGAATCCATTGGAAAACACCCAACCAACTGAGGGACACCAGCTAGGGATGCCATTCGTATATTTAAGAAAGAAAATGACCTAAGAGACCCACATGGCCCCTGAAAAACATGCTGCATGGAAAGTCCTATAATTCCATCACTTGAAAGACATCCTAGGAGAGTTGGTAAATTACAAAGATATTCTAAGTTGCATTGGAAACTACCCAAATATTCAATAGGAAACTGGTTAAACCCTACAATGAACTATGATGCATTGTTGTAAATGAATAGCTAGATATATATGTATTTATATTGACATGGAAAAATGCTCATGTTATATTGGTAAGTAGAAAAAATGGAAGTTGTAGACAGTGTGAATGATATAATCCCACTTTTATTTTTAAATAAAATAATATGTTATATTTACAAAAAAGGAGTTGGGGTATGTATATTAAAAGATTGGGTTTTTGGAAAGTTGAGATTTTTAGGGCATGGATCATCTACATCATATATTTATGGATTTTTTGATATTCAAATAAGACATCTGTAACCAGATAAATGCTTTTTAAGAGAGGAGAGGGACATGATCTTTGGAGTAAAAAAGACTGCTTTTGAATCACAGATCTGCCAACTACCAGCTGCATGACCCTGGGCAAGTCACTTCATGTCTTGGAGTCACAATTTCCTCATCCATAAAATGGGGAGATTAATACATGCCTCATAGGAGTGTCTCATGCCATCATCTTCTGTCAGTATGCTATAACATAGGGGTCAGCAAACCACTCTTTAGGCTAAATTAGGCCCTGTTTTTATAAAATAAAGTTTCATGGGAATATAGCCAGTTGTTTACATAATGTCTATGATTGCTTTTTCTGACAACAGTAAGGTTGAGTAGTTACTACAGGGATCATTCAACCTCAAAGCGTGAAGTATTTATTGTCTGGCCCTTGGCAGAAAACATTTGTGGACTAACCCATTTGTTGCTGTAGGAAGAATATATTGGCTTTCTTCCACCTCCTTTAACATGTCACATTCTTTGTAAGCACATCCCTAACGACCTTTGCACACACTGATCCCTTTGCCTAAAATTACATTCTCACATCTCACATCTAATCCTTTCCTTTTGATCCTACTCACCGTAATCATCTCCTTGAGGAGATTTTGCCGGTCCCATCCCACCCCCGAATTAGATTAACTTTCCTGGTATCCATTCTCATTGCATCCCTCATAGAGCTTCTTGTGATGGCAATTACCCTAATTATCTGTGTCCTTATTTCTTAAATGTTTTATTCTCCCTGTATACTGCAAACCCATAAAAAATATTCTTGTTAGCCTGCTCGGCGAGGCTCAGTGGTTGAGCATCGACCTATGAGCCAGGAGGTCAAGGTTTGATTCCAGGGTCAGGGCACACAGGTTGCAGGCTTGATCCCCGGTGTGTAGTGTGCAGGAGGCAGCAATCAATGATTTTCTCTCATCATTGATGTTTCTATCTCTCTCCCTCTCTTGTTCTCTCTGAAATTAATACAAATATATTTTAAAAAATATTCTTTTAAAAAATATAAATTTTATTGATTTTTTACAGAGAGGAAGGGAGAGAGATAGAAAGCTAGAAACGTTGATGAGAGAGAAGCATCGGCCAGCTGCCTCTTGCATGCCCCCTACTGGGGATGTGCCTGCAACCAATGTACATGCCCCTGACCGGAATTGAACCCGGGACCTTTCAGTCTGCAGACCAAAGCTCTACCACTGAGCCAAACCAGTTACGGCTTAAAAAATATTCTTGTTCAATACCGAATCTTCTGTGCCTAACAAAGTGTCTGGACTATAATGCATGGATACATGCATGCATGAATGCCATAATGTATAAAAGGTACTTATTGTCTTATATATATTGTATACCAACATATGTTATAACAAGTAGCTCACCTACTAGATGTACAAATGGTTATGAGCACAAATTAAGAGTTAGACATCCTGAGATTGAATCCCAGTTCTTCCATTTCATACGAGGACCCTTACACAAGTCCCTTAACCTCTTTTTGTCAGCTTCCCACCTGTAAAGTGGGCATAGTACCTACCTCATGAGATTTGTAAAGACGACCAAATAAAATTAGCCTAGGGCCTGGCACACATAAAGCATTCAATAGATGCCATCTATAATTATACTAGCAGTTATTAATTACTTTATAATTTTTATAATACAAGTCTTAGATAGATGGCAGATATATGACCCCCATAAGATCGACTCTATTAGTTTGCCCTGGAGTCAGGGCTCCTGGGACAAGGTGAACCAAGGTCTCTCACTCAACTCCCAAAACAGCCAAACATAAATCAAGCCAGAGCCATGGTTAAGTAATATTCTTTCTTTAATTCCCCTTGCAAATGGAAGCCCCTGAGCTGGTTCCCACCCCCACCCCTAGGGATTCCATACCCTGGACCACAGATACAATGCGCCTGCCTCAACCTGGTGGGAGGAAGAGAGGAACCTCCCAGGATGGTCCATTAAAAAAAAAAAATCCTAGTCTTTTAAGAAATGAGGCTGAGGACAAGAGAAGGGAGCTGGAAGACAAGGCCCAGGTAAGGCCGGATTGGAGATTTTGGGGTTGTGAGAACCCTTGAGAAGGGTTTGCAAGCACATCCCTAAGCTCAAGGCCAGCATGGCTGAGGGAAAGGAGACAGACAGATAATCTGACTCCTCGAGGTCCTGTCTGCCTGATATGAACACTGACACTCACCACCACCACCACCACCACCACCACCATCACCACCAAGGCCTCTGGATGGAGAATTTTCCAGTTACTCTGGGGAAGGGTTTGATAAGCATCCCCTCTGGCCCCTGATCTGGGGCATCCCTGGGGTCCTCCTAAGACCAAACTTGGGAGAAGGAACATGCAAAGGTGAGGGGAGCAGAGACCCCCACCCCACCCTGCTGCTCTACAGGATGGTGGCTCCAGCTGCGTCTGGACTCCGAGGGTCCTTCACACCGATGATGAAGTTGTTGGTTCTCCGGCTGCCATGGACCCAGGATAAGACATCTACCTTCTCCACGTGGTGACCCCTCGCTTCCAGGAACTCAATCTCTTCCTCTGTGAACTCACCTGAAAACCACCCCACAACATACACACATTCAGAGTTTTCAGAGCACTAGCTCAGGAGTCCTATGGTCAGACCTGAGTCCTGGTCCTGGAAGCTCCCCTGAGGAGGGGTATGACCTTGGTCAAATTGCTTGACCTCTCTGAGTCTCAGTCTCTTCATACATAAAATAGGGATCATACGAGAACCTACTACAATATATAAAGTTGTTGCAGGGATTAAAGGATATAATACACGGAAAGCATTGAGTTCAGAGCCTTGCATACAGTAAGTGATCCAAAATATACAGTCATTCTTAATATTGGAAAAGGGATTTTGGGGTCTTATCTCCACCTGCATAGGCCAAGCTGCCATCATATCTTGCTAGGATTGCTGCATAGCCCACTAACTGGTGTTTCTGCTTTCAGTCTTGCCTTCCTTATAGCCTATTCGCACAGTAGTCAAAGAGTCCTTTTAAACCATTAGAGTCCAGTGTTTCCCAAAGTGTGGTACACATACCCCCAGGGGTACGGGAAGAGTTTGGTGGGGGTACGCACGGAGCTTAGCTGTGCCTAATTCTACGTTTTCATGAGTACGAGGGGTACTCAGCGTTACGAAAATTATAGCAGGGGTACACATATGTCAAAAATTTGGGAAACACTGCATTAGACCATATCACTCCCCCACTCAAAACCCTCTATCAATGATGACAGAATCATTAATCAGCTGCCTCCTAGATGACCCTACTGCGGATTGAGCCAGCAACCCTGGCATGTGCCCTGGCCGGGAATTGAACCAGGACCTCCTAGTTCACAAGTCAACGTTCAACAACTGAGCCAGCTGGACCCCTCTAAAAGCTTTGATGACTCTTAGAATAAAATCTAAAGTCCTAACCAAGGCCTCTAAGACCCACCATCAACTGGGTCCTCACTCTCTCTCTAAACTCCTCTCTTCACTTCCTTCCACTCTCTTCCTAAACTCTGCTCTAACCTCCTTCATCAAAGAAGCCAAACATGGTCCTGTCTCATGGGCTTTGCACCTGCTTTCTCTCTGCTTGGAATGTTTCTTCCTAGAGAGTCACAAAACTGCCTCCCTCACTTCATTCCAATCTTCAAGAACTTCTCTCATCACTATCTAAAATATCAGCCCATGTTATCTTTACCTTGCTTTGTTTTCTTTCACAGTACTTAATGCTACCTGTATTTGTTTATTTATTTACTGTGTCTCCCTCCACTATATTATGAGTTTTTTAAAGGCAGAGGTGTTTTCTTGTTCATTATTGATCCCCAGAGCCTACAACTGGGTGAGGACATAGTAAATGTTAAGCCAATTCTTTCCTGGATAAATTAATAAGTCCTTGCCCTCTTGCATAATTTCCGGTCTTCATCTCTTGCTGGTCCATTATTCAGGGTGCTTCTTATACTTCCCCAACTTAAATTCTCCTCCCTACAGTACACCTACCCTATATGGAATGAATCAGGTCATATCCCTCCCCTACTCAACTGAATAACGTCCACGTTCTTAACAAGGAACTCCATGATAAGCCCTATAACTTCACCTCCCCCTATTCCTCAACAAAAATATTGTCTTATTTTACCAAATGGGACAAAATAATTTTCTGTAACAGAAAGAGCAGCCCTGAGAGCCTTCTCTGGGGAACAATATCTAACTAAAACATAAAAATATTTTATTTTTATAGCTACTTATTATCTATTTGTGGCATATAATGCCATTTTTCCATTTGAGATTATGATATAAGATTTACTTTAAAAATACATTTAGGTTAAATGTGTTTATAGACACATTGTGTAAATAATGGTTTAGAAGATGTATAAATGTGCCAAAAGTCATGAAAGTGATGGATAAATTCTGAAATTTGGGTATTTAGTCCAACTATCTCTTGGCTGCTCTCTGACCCATTCTTTCTGGCTTTTGCACAGGCAGTTCCCCTATTCACAATGTTGTTGTTGTTGTTGTTCTTCTTCTTCTTTTTAAATATATTCTATTGATTTTTTACAGAGAGGAAGGGAGAGGGATAGAGAGCCGGAAACATCAGTGAGAGAGAAACATCAATCAGCTGCCTCCTGCACACTCCCCACTGAGTATGTGCCTGCAACCAAGGTACATGCCCTTGATCAGAACCGAACCTGGTACCATTGAGTCCGCAGGCCGACGCTCCATCCACTGAGCCAAACCGGTCAGGGCTGTTCACAATGTTCTTTACCTCCACATGCCAAATTCCTGCTCATACTTAAGGTTCAACCAGTTGTTGCTGTAAAGCCTCCCAGAGTCCTCGGGTGGATGAACTTTCCCTTCACCTAGCCTCCACTCTTCATGCCCATGTCGAGGACTGAAGCCCATTCGGCAGGGCTAGGAAGAGCCCCCTCACTCCACGTAACATAGAAAGAAAGCCTCGCATTTGATAGAAACCAGAAGATATTAGTTGAGCAGAATTCATTTTCAAGGAATCCATCAGTTGGGATCCAAAGTGTCATCAGTCAACTATAGGCTGTGACTGCTGAGGATGTAGGTGTGTGGCTTCTAATGTGCTTCAGTCCAGGAGATACTAGAGCCACGCAGTCAAGAACCGAGCCTTTGGTGTCAGCCAGGTGTTCTCTCAGTTCTGCCACTTACTAGCTGATCATTGACTAGTTTATGGGTATCAGTTTCTTTCTCCATAAAATGGGGATAATGACTCTGAGCAGCAAGGACCATGTCTCATTCAATATATATCCCCTTTTGACTTGTATAATACATTGCCTATTGCAATAAAAACTCCCCAAAGGTGCACATACTTCCCCATTTACAAAATTAAGTATCTGTCCTTCTTAAAGGAAAGTCAGCCAAAACTGGTTTGGCTCAGTGGATAGAGTGTCAGCCTGTGGACTGAATGGTCCCAGGTTCGATTCCGGTCAAGGGCATGTACCTTGGTTGCGGACACATCCCCAGTAGGGGGTGTGCAAGAGGCAGCTGATCGATGAATCTCTCTCATTGATGTTTCTAACTCCCTATCTTCTCTCTTCCTCTCTGTAAAAAATCAATTATTATATATATATATATATATATATATATATATATATATATATATATATGTATTTTTTTTAAGAAAAGTAATCTCCTCACCATAACTTATAAGGTCCATGACCTGGCCCCTGCTGCCTCTCTGATCTCATCTCATCCTCACTCACTCTTGTTTCCTTTCTACTCCTAAAACACACCAAGCCCTGAATTCTTGCATTTGTTCCCTTATTCTTGCCCTGAATTCTTTGCATTTGTTCCCTTGGCATACAGAGTCCCAGTTCTTTGCACGGTGGGTTTTTTCTCATTCTTCAGATCACAGCTTAAATGTTCCCAAAGAGAGGCCTCCCTCAATCATCGAGTCAGCCCTATACATACATTATCCTAATTCAATGCTCTGTAGGGCATTTATTTTGCTTCCTCTTACTATTATTATTGTTAATTTATTTTCCTGTCTGCCTGTAAATGCAGTATCCCTGGCATCTAAGATAATGCCTAGCACACTGTTGATACTCAATACAAACTGCTGAATTAATGGTTTGCAGAATAAACAACTGCATCTTGTTTTATAAATGAGAACACTGAGGCTCAGAGTGGAGCCATAAATTTCCCAAGGTCACTCAGCCAGGAAATGGCAGGATGGTCCTAACCCCCCAGATCTTGTACTGTTAGGAATTAGTTGGAGGAAACCAAACTTTCAATGGCAGGGAGCTGGTGCTGGTTGAGGCAGGGGCACCCTTGGGAAGAACCTCTTTCTCTACCATGCCCAGTGCCCACTCCATGGGGACACTCACTGTCCACCTGTAGGAGGTTGGACTGCAGGTCCGGGTGTAGGCGACCATGGGCCAGGCTGTCACTCAGGTTCCGGTTCAAGGTCAGGACATTCAGCAGAACCTGCAGACAGCCAAAGGGCAGAAGTCAGGGCTACCCCAGAGATGGGGTTTAGGACTCTATGGTCCTTCCTCCTGGTCCAGACTCCTTAGTCTTTAGATTCCTTGCACCAGGAGTGTCATTTGAGCTTCTCAACAGTCCCAGAAGACAGGCAGACCTTTGATGACTATCCCTATTTCACAGATGGGTAAATGAGGGCCAGAGAAGAAAAGTGATTCACTCCAGAATTTAGAGAGAGCCAGGGAAGAGGCACTGCTAGCATCCAGTCTCCCAGCCCAGCTGACCTCCCTTGTCCCTGGCCAGGACAGAGTTAATGGCTGGGCATAGTCTAGGTCACAATGTGGATACCTTGAGCTTGCTGGTTTGCAGTGTGGATAGGCTCTGGAACCGATGCCTGCCCATTCTTACTAAACTGGACCTAAATTTTTAACCATTCTTGGCCTCCGTTTTTTATATATGAAATAGAAATAAGGATTCCTTCCAAAGTTGAGAAGGTTAAAGGAGTTAACACACCTAACACCATGCCCAGTACTTAGTAATAACTCTGTATATGTTAGCTATTTTTATCTCTATTTTACAGATGAGGAGACAGGTTCAGAGAGGTTAAGTGAATTCTCCAACATCACATAACTGGAAATCCGCAGCACTTGGCCTGGGACTCACGGGGGTGTGATTCCAAAGCTCAGGTTAGTTAACTCGCCACCTGTCAAATTATGTACCTGGCACATATACATTTGTGGAATTGTTGTGAGGCATTTTGGAGTGTAGCAGACCCTTGCTTTCAAAATCCTAAAAAAAAGGCTGCTTCTCTATTCAGATGCTGAGTACAGCATGGAACTTGAGATTGAGAGAATTCAGGCATCCCAGATGCCATATCACCTCTCAATCCCACTGGCCCTGTAGTTTCTCCTGCAACCTGGGAAGACAGGGAGCTTCAGGGCTACATTTCCACTCAGACAGTCACACAGCCCATCTCCTTGGTGTCCAGGGGGGCCTGCCGCAAAGCAGTTCCAGCCCTCGTTTGCTGTGAGTAACAGATGAAAATAAGCAAGAGACATGAAGGCATCTGCAGGCCACCACTTGGCTCCTGGCCACAAAAGGCCTGCCGAGGAGGACGCCTCACCTGGGTGAGGCCGCTGAGGCCCCGGGCAGCTCCATTGGCCCCCAGGGCGAGGTAGGTCCCACAGAGCCCCTCTGCTGGCCGGACCACAGTGGGCAGCAGAAAAGACAGTGGCCGCTTCCCCGGCTGCACCGAATTCTCCTGTTGGCAGAGGACCAAGGCCACAAGGGAGGCGAGAGGTGGGGTGAGATAGGATAAGGACTACTCCATCACTCTTCCAACCTTCCTCCCTCCCTCCCCTACATCTTCCACAGGCCCAGTTTTCATTGGAGACCGGTCTCTCCCCAGGCCACAGTTTGCTATATGTGAAATGGTCAGGGTCCTTGGATAACTGGGGTGGATAGTGAACCCACTAAGTTTTGAGGCAGGGAAAGGGCCAAGCCAAGAAAGATGACTATGGGGATGAACAGAATAATCCCCACCCTGGTCATCTGTCTTCGTCCTGCGGGACCCCAGCTTGAAGGATGTAAAGGTGCTGACCTCCAACTACACAATAATTCCTATTTCCTTTCTCCTTTGGTGCCCAGCAATAGGGCTGAACCCCATCAGCTCAGCCTTACACAGCCACAGACAATTAGTACTAAAAAGTACCTAGAGCACACTATCCTCCCTATACAGGTGAGAAGAAACTGAGGCCCAGAGAGGGGACAAGGTTTCTTTGGATCCACCAGGCTCCCAAGCCCCAGACTTAGGCTGGGATGAAGTAAGCACCGTGTCTGGGCTCCTTTTCTTTATAATAGAAGTTCCTAGCGGAAATAGGGAGGGAGGAGCAGCCACACTGTAACACATCCTCCCCAGCCTTGGAGTCTGAAGGGTAAGAGGGAAGCAAGACCCTACCAGGCTGGGTGCAGAGTGGTTAGCAGTCCTGTTGGGCCAGGAGAAGTCCAGCATCTGGCTGTTGAGTAGGATCCCCGAGGGGGTGATGAGGCCACTGCCAAAGGGCCGGTTCAGGGAGCTGGGACCGAGATTGGGGCCAGGTGAACCCTGAGCCCACTCTCACTCCTGCCCAGCCCCCACCTAGATGATGATCTCTTGTGCCAAGTGGAGTCTGAGCTTGCCTACCTGACCATGGCCACAATGAAGTCGTCAGGGCCCATGACCAGCACCTGGGCAGCCGTGGGAGCCCCATCCAGCTCGTAAACAGGCAGGAGGGGGGCAGGGGCTGCCTGGGAGTCATTGATGTGGCCCCGCAGGTAGGCAGCCTCTACCTTGCTGAAAAGACATGGGGTAGGAGATGAACACACAGCAAGTTCTCATTCCATCCCACCTACCACTCTTTGTGATGTCTGTTTGTGTGATTATTTGATTAATATCTGCCTCCCGTTTTGGTCTGTTCCAGAGAACAGATTACATATTCCTAGCATATAGGAAATATTCAGGAAATAGTTGTTGAACTGAATGAATTTAGTTAGGTGTTATTCAGATTCTCTTCTAGAGCCGATTTTTAATTTATTCAGTGCCTCAATCAAGAGTCTTTTAATTACTTGACTTCACTCATTTAATCCTTTCTATGAAAGTACCTATAGGGTATAGTGAATGCTCAGAAGATATTTGTTTTGACATGAACAAACTGAATTCACTTAACCTGATGTTTGTAATCCCAAAATTAAGTTTCATTAAGAATTTATTGTGTGTGTGTGTGTGTGTGTGGGAAGGAAGTGGTTGTGGTGGGAGGTTTGTATACAAGAATCTTTACTTGCTATTAGAATTTTTTTTGAAGACACAGAAAGACTTGTCACATAGTAAGCCCTTATGAATATTTATTGGATGGCCTGGACAGAGTGGCTCAGTGGTTGAACGTTGACCTATAAACCAGGAAGTCATGGTTCCATTTCTGGTCAGGACACATGCCCAGGTTTCGAGTTTGATCCCCAGTAGGGGGCATGCAGGAGGCAGCCGATGAATGATTCTCTTTCATCATTGATGTTTCTATCTCTCTCTCCCTCTCTCTTCCTCTCTTAAATCAATAAAAATGTATTTTTTAAAAAATTTATTGAATGAATGGATTTAATATAGGTATGTGCGTGTGTTTTAGAGCTAAATATGTATTGATCTTAAAAGCAAATTTATGAAATCATGAAAATACAAATTTACATTAACTGTATTTTTGGTTTCTGATTTTCCCTCAGCCAGCCTTTAAGTCAATTATAGTAGCAGTTAAAAGGTAACCCTGCTTACCCCTATTGCCAATTAAAACTAATGATGATAAAAAAACAAACAAACAAAAAAAAAACTAATGATGATATTTGTTGAATATTTATTATGTATTAGACAACATGCTCAATGCTTTGTATGAGTAACCTTGCCTGGTCTTTACAATTAACCATGTGATTGGCACTATTATTGTCAGGCCCCCTTATAGAAACAGATTTAGAGAGGATAAGGCTGCATAGGCTGAGAATCTGGGATTTGAACTGAGTCAGTCTGACAAGAGCCCACAGTTTTACTATTATATTATCCTGCTAATATAGATATATTTTAATAAAAATCTCCACCACCTCCAATATTTTCTTGGAGACTCTTTTCATTGTTAATAGGCTTTCTTTGTCCACTAAAGGAGGACCAGATGGGCCCATTTATGTGCCCTGAGAGCCATCTGAAGTAGAACAGCTCATTGTACAGATGGGAACACTGAGGTGCAAGGAGAAACAATCAGTGCCACATTGTGAGTTAGGGTTGAGCTGGAATTGATATGGGATCTCAGGCCTATTTCTTTTAAAAATATATTTTAATTGATTTTTTTACAGAGAGGAAGAGAGAGGGGATAGAGAGTTAGAAACATCGATGAGAGAGAATCATCGATCAGCTGCCTCTTGCACACCCCCTACTGGGGATGTGCCCGCAACCAAGGTACATGCCCTTGACTGGAATCGAACCTGGGACCTTTCAGTCCTCAGGCCGACGATCTATCCACTGAGCCAAACCGGTTCGGCAGGCCTATTTTTCTATCAGCAGCTTTACACCTGATCCTTTCCCTACACCACGGCCATCTGTCCAGTCCCCACAGTCCTGCCACGGGACCCACCTTAGCATGTCATCCATGCTCTCAATGATGGTAGAATCATAGATGGGGTCTCCCAGTCTGCTGGCCAGGGCTAGTGCAATCTTCAGGGTCTGAAAACAGAGCAGAGGTATGGCAGAGGCAGCCAGACTTCTCCCAGCACCCACACCCAGAATTCTTGTGTGTGAGAAAACCTGGAGGGGATTTAGTCTTGTCCCATGGCAGTACCCCATCCCCCCACACTCAGTGTCCCCCAGCACAGGGTCGAATGGAGGGAGTGGCCTTACCTCTGCCACCCAGTGAAGAGCCTGCTCCCGGGAGACCAGGCTGGTGAGGTTGAAGCCCTCGAGGATGTTGAGAGCGCTGATGAGGGCAGGGCCTGTGTGCGGGGGTGGGGGGCTGAGAACCAGGTGGCCTGAAAGGACAGGAAATGACCAGATGGCAGGGACAGTCAAGGCACCTCCACATCCCACCGTCACATAGACTGGGACCGCAGCACTGACCTCCCTCATCAGATAGGGGGAAAGTGGTGACAGGCAAAGGGACACACGCCAAGTTCACATGGCGTGTCAAGGGACAGGGCCAGGACTCCAACTCGGAACACTGGTCTCCAGTTTCCTCTTCCATATGAGGAAACTAAGGCTGAGAGGACTGTCATTTGCCCAAAATTTCAATGAAGGCCATTGGCACAGCAGGGACAGATGTCCAGATGTTCAGATTCCTGGCCCACCGTGGGGCAGGATACTATTCAGGGCCCCTGAGGGTCCCACCCCTGAAACTTCCTGGGAGCAGCAACCTCCCCTTCCTATACAAGGCTCTAGTTATTAGATGTTTGGACACAAAGGAATAATAATATCTGATATAACACAAACCATAACTAATTAACTCCCTTAATCCTCACAAAGGGTACTTTTACCATTCCCATTTTACAGGTGAGAAAACTGAGGCACAGAGAGGCAGCTGGCCCAAGGCTACAGGATACAAGTGGAACCTAGAGTACTCAAGGTTCTGGCATCGCCAAGAGAATACAGGCTTGGAGGGGAAATGGAAAATCAAATACATATACAATGCCCATTCTGATCAGGGCAACTTTCAACATCATCTCATCAAATCCTCATAGCCACCCTGTGAGGTAGGCACTATTATCTCCATTTTAAGAAGGGAGCCATGGCTCAGAGTGGGAAGTGATTTGTTCAAAGTGAATGGCAGGTCTTCCTGGTTCCCTAGCTATGCTCTTTCTCTGTTCCATATGACATTGCCTCTGGTAGAGGAATTGGGCTGGAGATTAAGGTCTGGAAACTTGAACTCAGAGGCAGTCTCTTCTGGGGCTTGAAGTAATCTGGGCCTTTTAGAGCCGTGGTCGGCAAACTGCAGCTCATGAGCCACATGCGGCTCTTTGGCCCCTCTTCCACAAAATACCACGGCCGGGGCGAGTCTATTTTGAAGTGGCATTAGAAGTTTAAGTTTAAAAAATTTGGCTCTCAAAGAAATTTCAATCCTTGTACTGTTGATATTTGGCTCTGCTGACTAATGAGTTTGCCAACCACTGACCTAGAGGAAAGACAACTTATGAGCCTTCCTAGGGACCTAGAAGCCTACCACTTTGGGTTCAACAAACATGGACATCATCTATGTCATAAATTTGAATTCATGGGTTTATCACTTTTTTGAATTTGACAAGTTAAGTTCTTTTCCTTCCGTGGGCCCTGTTTTCTTTTGGCACAATTAGAGGGAGGTCTATGACTGTCTTGAAAATTTTGTTATAACCAGAAGCTTAGATGGACTTTAGTCTTATGAGTTCTTATGATGTGTAGGGCATTGAGAGGGGGACCAGGAATGGGACAAGACAACAGAGTCCAAATCAAGAAAACATATGGATAGAACCCCAACTTCTAGGCCTGAACCTTTGACCAGACCTCCCTCCCCATAGCCTAAATGCTTGGGATAATTGAATCCAAAATTACTTCAGAAGGTAGGCTGACTCTGGCTTGCTTCATTAGTTAGCTGTCTAGGCAGCCCACTGCCTAAGTTTCTCTCCTGTTAAATGGGAAGGAGTCTCTAGGCCAAAAGCATACAGCCATGGACCGGGACGATTCTCCTGAGTGGGGACCCTGGGAGCTGGGAGGGAAGTCACCTCTGTACACGCCACACACAGGCTTCTCCACGAGGGCACTGTAGTTGCTGAAGTCCTCCTCAGTTATGACACCCCCTGCATGCTGAGCCTGGAAGGGAGAGAATGCCCCCACCAACACTTTGAGCCACACACCACGCAGTGAGCATGTGGATTTGGCCTGTGGTATATGTTTGGATCACAGACAGATCAGATGCTTATAACATTTGTGCCTTCTGCAATTCCCATCAGGAAGAGGAAAAAGCACTAACATTGAGCACCTACTATGTACAAGACATTGTGTTGGGTACATTCTATGAATGACCTTCTTAGGTCAGTATTTAAGGCTCCTTGTGATCTGGCCCCTGCCCTCATCTCTGCCTCATGTCCTGCTATTCCCCAGTGAGCTCTGGGTGACCTGCAGTTCCTGAACTTATGACTCTATGTTTTTGTGTATACTGCCCTCTCTGCCTATGAGAAAGGAAGATTTTTCACTTACAGCAGCACATGCTTGAGAGATATCAAACTGAATCCTGCATTTCACTACAAATAACTAAAGCCACTACAAAACCATGGCCCTGGTAGGAATGACAGTGAACTAATCTTGTACAAACCAATGGGCTCATTTCATACTACCCAGCATGCTCATTTTCAACCCTAAATTAGCATAACAATAGGAATGTCCTCCGCCCCCCCCCCCGCCCCCCCCCAGTATTTGAAACCTCTGACTTTTAATCCACCCTCAGTGAACTATACATTGAATTGCTTGGCTGGTGTGTGCTCCTTTGTTTGACAACTTTGTGTTTGTGTGTTGTTGTTTTTTTAAATTTAAAGCTCTGATGGACTTTCTTGATCCCCTTCTCTACCTCTAGGAGAGGATACACAATGCAGGTCTGGTTAATCAGAGCATTTGTTTTCATGGCGCAGTGATTGGCTTGGGAATGAGACATAACCTTGAGGCTTTTGCTTGAATTACTGGAATGAGAAATGCTCTTTCCTTGGGATGGCTTACTGGAAGGATGGCTGCCGGGAGCAGGTGTGGAAAGGATCTGACTGAGAGTGAGTTCAAGCAGAGGAAAGTAGAGTTATGAGACAGAAAGAGAGACAGATCAAGTCTTGACAATGGGGATGGAACCCCTGGGTCTGGATCCAGCCGACCTAAAGCCAGTTCTCTGTGGGACTTTCCAGTTAAGTCCATCTATCACCACATCCATCTCTCCAGTGCTCAGCACAGGACCTGGCACAGAGCAGGCGCTTTGTGATGAAGAATAAGCGATAGACCTACTCAGTTCCCACTACTGTATGGCAGGGATAGATATAACCACCCTATTGCCCAGATGAAAGAACCACTGAGTTGGTCCGTGTATCCTTATCTTGAACATAATTTCCCATCGGGAATTTTAAACTATGGACAACAGTTCTAAAACCAATTACTGCCTCAGACTAAGACTCTTTGGGGTTAGTTGGTAAGCCCTTATGCTAATCCCCCCAGTTCCAATGAAGGAGGCCCTTTGCTCAATCCTTAGAAAAACCTAAGGGCAGGGTGAGGTTGTGGGCTCAGGGAGGCTGAGGCTGATCCCGGTTCTCCACCAAGCCTGGGAGGGGCAGGACAGGCCTCTGCACAGGTTGGCGCCAGCCCTGGGAAGCCCAAAGTTACCTCTCTCCATCAAGACAATACATTCCCATCGGCCCAGTAGGTACTTCCTCCCGCATTCCTGTCAAGCCCTCCCACTCCAACAGCCACTGATCTGATTCCTATCACCAGAGGTTAGTTTTGCTTATCCTAGAATTTCAAGTAAATATATGTAGAGAGAAATCCAGGGAAGGAAGGGGAGGATGTATGTCCCTGCAGGAGAGTCCGTTGGGGCATACGGGCTCTCCCTGTGCTCACCTCGGCAACCATCTCCAGCGTGAGGTTACCACCAGCATAGAAGGCAGCGGGGCCGTAGGTGCCAAGTACATCCAGCACCATGGCCAGGTCAGGCCGTTGCATCAGTGAGCCAGGTAGTGGTGGGCGGCCCGATGGCAGGAACGTCTCATGAAAGTGCTCAGATGCATCGGGCGGCAGCTGTTCTGACAGGGCACGTGCTATGGGCAGGGACAAGAGGCTGGGCAGGGATTGAGTGTCTGGCCCTAAGCTCCAGCCCCCAAGGAGCCAGTTACGGGGGAGGTAGGGTATATAGGGGCCTCTCTAGATCTTCTCATTTGAGTCTGCCTCCTGATAAGGGTGGGAGAGATCTGAGGAGCAAACTGGAAGAGAGGTGCTTTCCAGTTTGGGCCCCAAATCTCAGAGATGTATCTCCCCCCTCCACCAACCGCATGCCTTACCCCTGACCCCCAAGTCCCACTGACCTAGATCATGGGTTACGTTGAAGCCATCTTGGGCCACAGCTGCTGCAAAGGCCAGGACTTGGTACCATGGCAGCCTGGGAAGTGGGGGGTCAGAGAGAAGGGGGTGGAGGAGGTCCTGGGGAGATGAGGAGGGATGGGTGGTGGGGAGGAGAGGAAAGGGTTCTGGGGAAGGAGAGTCCTGGCAAGGGAATGGGATATTGGGAGGGGGAGTTTGCAAGGAAATCATCCAGGAAGGTAGGAGGGCACCAAAGGAGCAGTGCAGGCAGGGGCCCCTGGTCCCCAGGGGGAGGTCTTTACCTGCCATAGAGCTGGTGAGCTTCATGTAGCCCCTTCACCATTCCGGGAACCCCCACCAAGAGCCCAGGCTGGGCAAGGCGGGCAGGCGAGGGAGAGAGGAGACCAGGTCACTGGAAGGGGGGGGGCTGGGCTGAACTCTGCAGAGCCCCAAGCCAGGGATGGGGGGGGGGGGGCGGCACAGGGGAGAGACAAAGGCCAAGTGCCCTAGAGGAGGGACAAGCTGTCCCAGCAGGCATCCTCCCTCCCATCTCCCTGACTTCCTTCCAGTAAATGCAGAAAGGCCTTCTTTAGCTGTCATAATTGAGGGACTTATAAATTAAGCAAACCCTTTTAAGAGCTAGGACATAACCAATTTAGATGGGAGCCTGTCTTCATTGGGTTATACCTGTTTCTGCTTTTAAAAATAGTGGGCAAGAGACCTTCATTTTACCTTTTCATTATCATACCACCATTACTATGAGCTGTGTTGTGTATTTGGCTTTTACCTCTTCACTAAATCTATATTTTTCCAAGTTGTTCTATCTCTGCCTTTGCTCTCTATGGACCGTGGGTTTTGCTCTAGCAGTTTCTTTCTAACCTCCCAGCATGTGGTGGGCTGGGGAAGTTACAGTCCACAGGCTCAGAGTGGGACGTGTGAGTGATAGTGCAGCCACTTGGAGGTCTCCGGCTGCTCAGTGGCCTTCTTTCTTTCTTCTCTGTGCCAGATAGGCAAGGCTGCCACAGAAGTTAAGATGTTGCTGCATTGCCTGATATTCACCATCCAGAATTTTTTGTTCACTATCTTACTTGGGGAGTTGCCTGTCTCCCTCATAACCTAAGAGCATCCTGCTCAGCTCGTTTCTTCACCTCCATAGCAAATACTCAGCAAAGTAATGCTTGGGTTAGAAGAAGGGCAGTGAAGGGAGACCCCCACCCCCATAATTTCTTCTCGCCAGGGTCCCCACCTTGGTTTCCCAGGATCTCTGCAGGGCCTCTTCCCGGAGGGCCCCTGGTGCAGACTCCCGGAAATCAATTAGGTGGCTCTCGTTGCGTCGGATGTCATGTACCAGCATCACACCCCCGCTAGAACAGACACAGAAGGGGGCGGGTGGTGATGAAAAGACGCTACCTCTCTGAACAGTTAACCTGCCACCCTTCAACTCCCAATGGTGATGGCTGTAGGCGTAGTTTGTCATCAGGAGGCAAGTGTTTGAGCCCCCTCCCAAATAGGGATTCAGAGATTCAGCCGCCCCACAAGGCAGGGATCCAGAGTTCAAGGATTTCAGCCTGTCACTGGAGACTTTAATCCCTGATTTAAAACAACAACAACAACAACAAAAAAAACAGAGACTGGGAGAGCAGGATGTTCTCCCCCCGCCCCAGACCATGGCTGGACCCCTGCCAGCTTCCTGCACCTGCCTCCTTGGTATGCCTCCACTCCCGCTCCCAGGACTCAATTACGTAAGAACAGACTGTGCAAAAACAAAAGGGATTTCTTTGGTAGGGTCTGGAAGACTGGCCTTACAGGAACCAAGACACGGACTTGGTCAGCTTGTCCCTTTTCTGTGGCGTGTTTCCATTTGAGACGGTGGTAGCATCTGAGATGGTGGCCTGCAGCCCAGCAACTAAGGAGTGGTAGCACTGTGGCAAAGTGGGAGGCACAGAAGGGGGAAGCGGCTTCTACTCAGGTCCAGATCGTTGCAGTCATAGGGAACTGTGTTACCAGGTCTCTTCAGGCTCAAGAGATGTTGGAAATTCTCAACTTTTTAACAATAGGAAACACATTTTTAAAAAAAATCTAAGTCTGCAAACCAAACGTGTCCGCTGGGGATGGCCCCTGGGTGGCCAATGTGTCAACTCTGTTTTAAGAATTCTTAGTGGGGGTGGGGGTGGGGGTGGGGGGGTGTATTTTTTGGAGCTTAGAGAGTCCATAGCTTTCATCAGACTCACGGATTTGTGGGCTCGAAAGGTTAAGTTTTGCTGCCGTAATTAATTACCTGTGCACCTCACGTTACAATGGACAGCATCATTTTCCAAAAAAAATAAAAAAAAAAAAGGCTTTTGAAAACGCCTCCTCTGACATTATGGAAGAAAAAAGGGATGAAACTGTGTGTGTAGAAAGAGCAAATGCAAGGAGTTGGGGCCCACCTGTTTCTCTGCTCAAACTTGGAGACCCTCCCCGCCATGAGGTCTACAGACCAGGACAGGGAGTGAGACCTGGGGGACCCCAACCGTGGGGCACTCCTTACCCGCCCAGGCCAGAACTGTGAGGAGCCACGATTCCCAAACACAGGGCCGCTGCCACAGCTGCGTCCACAGAAGATCCCTGTTTACTGAGCACCTCGATGCCCAGTGAGGTACAACGGGCAGCATCAGTCACCACGGCGCCCTGGTGGAAGATCTGGGAGAGGGAAGGGGCTGGTTGGGGACAGGAGGAGCCCCCTGCTTCCCTAGGGTACCCCCACTAACCCCAGAACCTCCACGGGGGTGAGGGGTGGGGTGCTGGTGCAAGCCCTGTCCTCTTGCCCCCTGGATTCACCCCATTTACCTTCCTTTCCCTCACTATCTCTCTGATCAATCCCTTCCTTGCTCCGTCCCCCCTCAAGCCTGTCTCCCCTCAAGCCTCGAGCCACCCCCCTCCCCCTGGGACCTTCCTCCCTCGTTTCCAATGCCCGGCCCGCTTCCACCACTCAGCCAGCCAATGCCCACCGTCCTCTCACCTGAGGGTCCCCGAAGTAGATCTGCATGATGAGCGCCACGGTGACGCCCGTGGCAAAGGTGAGGCAGGCCGTAACGATGACCGTGAGCCCATCCTGGCGGCAGGAGCACTCGGCGGCCGCGGCGGAGAACGGGTCTTTGCGGGTCTCGCGCAAAGGCGACCCGTCCTGGCTCCCCATCTCCGAGGAGGACGAGGGCAGCCGCTGCAGGCGCGCGGACTTCAGGAAGGAGTCCGGGTCTGCGGGCGGCGAGGAGCGGAGGTGGGAGTGAGCGGTCGCAGGGGAGGTGGTGTCAGTCTCTTACCCGCCCTGCAGCACTCCAGTCGGGGTATTATCCCCCCCTCCCCGCACTCCCGTTCAAACAAACCCCAATATAGATCACCAGCGTCTATCCACCCCCATGCACCCCAGGGCCGGGTGAGGGGGGCAGGCCGGGCTGGGAAGAGACAGGGAGCACCAGCAGGGAGGCTGGGCAGCTGGCTTACTGTCCCTAGGCCAAATTCCCTGAGCACCCAGGACCCACAACTGAGAACACTTCCTGGAGAGGCGGGAGTTGGACCCTCCCTGGAAACCAGATACTCCCAGAGCTGGGCCCAACCTTCTATGCAAGGAAGCAGTTAACTTACACTGAGTGGATAGGCCTTGGCTTCCAACCTTGCTTCATTCATTCATTCATTCATTCATTCAACAAATATGGAGGATCTGCTATGTTTCGGGCCCTATGCTAGATGCTAGGGGAAACCCTCTGGGGTTCTCAGATCAATGGGGAAAGAAGGCAATAAAGAAGTAAACAGATGAGCACATAATTACAAGTAAATAAAAAGGACGAAATAAGACAACAGTGGTTTGTGTTGGGGTCTGCTTAGCTGGGGAAATCAGCCCCAGCCTCTCAGCCGCCTCTTAGCTTAGAAGTGACTGTTAAGCTAAGAACTAAAAGATGAGCAGGAGCCACCCATATGTAGGGCAAGTGGTGAGTACTTAGTGTTCCAGAAAGAAGGAACAGCAGGTGCAAAGGCCCTAAGGTAGGAATGAAATGGCACATAAGAAGAAAAAATAACCACGCCTGTGTGGTTCTAGTGTAGTGAGCTGTGGGGTGGAGGCCGGGGCAGATCACTGGGCCTTGGCTTAGTGAAAAGCTTGAATTTTACCCTAATGGCATGGGAGGCCATTGAAGAGTTTTAAGCGAGAATGTGAAGCTATCTGTTTTATGCTTTAAAAAGACCCCTCTGGCCCTGGTCATTGTCGCTCGGTAGGTTGAGTGTCCTCCCATGCACCAAGAGGTCACCCGTCCGATTCCCAGTCAAGGGCACATGGCCAGGTTTTTGGGCTCAATTCTCAGTAAGGATGTGCAGGTGGCAGCCGATTTATAGTTTGTTTTTTTTTCTCTCTCTCTCTCTTAAACAATATATGAATCCTATGTTATTTACTTAAAAGAGCCTAGAATGGTAAATGTGTGTCATACAAGGCAGAATATCCTTGAAATAGAGAAATAAACACATTAAGCAGCTTTGGAAAGACTTAGACTTCACTGTAATGTAGCATTAAACTCTATAACATAGTTGAGGGACAATATTCTCGAGCGTCTTCTGTTCATAACAGTGTGTAGGAAGTTGTTTGTATTCCTCTCTAAAAATCAATAAAAACACATTTAAAAAAACAAACAAACAAAAAACCATCCCTCTGGCTGCTATCTGGAGAATGGATCTGAGGATGTAGGCGTGGAGGCAGAAAGACTTAAAAGCCACTTCACTTGCTGAGTAACTATGGATAAGTCATTTCAAATGATAAGTTTCACTTTCTGCGTCCTAATAATGGAACTAATCCCTAACCGGCTGGGTGGTACAGGGAGTTCATGAAGTGATGTATACCAAGCACCCCATAAGTGCTCACTCAAAGTTATTTCCATTCTTTTGCAACCTTGAGCAACACTGAGAGAGACCCTCTTCTATCCCATAGTTCCCTCTCCTGGGTGCTAATGGCCTTGAACCCAGGCTTTTAAATGTCCTAAAGGTCCTTAGCTTGGTACCTTAATACCTTGCTGTACTCACAATGTGTTTTTTAAAAGTGCATTCTTCCCATGGACATGGGCAATAGGGTGGTAAAGAGCTGAGGGGAGGATATAGGAGCTGGGAGGAGGGGGGAAAGGGGAGAAGAAATGGGAAATATTTGCAATAATATCAACAATAAAAATATATTTAAAATAAAAGTGCATTCATTCAATAAATATATTTTTAAGCATCTGCTACTATATACTAGGAGTATAACCTTTTTAAAAGTCTGTGGGATAATATTAAAAATTGACTGTTATGCCGAGACCGGTTTGGCTCAATGGATAGAGCATCGGCTTGGGGACTGAAGGTTCCCGGGTTCGATTCCTGTCAAGGGCATGTACCTTGGTTGCGGGCATATCCCCAGTAGGGGGTGTGCAAGAGGCAGCTGATCGATGACTCTCTCTCATCGATGTTTCTAACTCTATCTCTCTCCATTCCTCTCTGTACAAAATCAATAAAATATATTAAAAAAAAAAAAAAGAAAAAAAATTGACTGTTATATTTCCTACCTAAAATTGGTTCACCAATGCCAACATGATAAAAGTCTAAACTCCTTAACCTGTTGGTCAAGGCCCTTCATAATCCACACTCTTCTGTTATGTAAATTATTTATGATCATTACTTTTGGGAAAAGATCCTAAAGGTGGGGTGGGAGAATATTTGGTTTGAAATTTTTACTATTTATATATTTTTAATTAATACATATATCTTTAAATAAAAAGGAAAAATTATAGGAAGACAACAGTGGAGAAGGGAACTTTTCCTCACTATTCCTTGTTTATTCATTTGTTTGTTTATTTATTTTTGCCATGAACATGTAATTTATTTTTAAAAATTTTTTTAAATATATTTTATTGATTTTGTACAGAGAGGAAGGGAGAGAGGTAGAGAGTTAGAAACATCGATGAGAGAGAGTCATCGATCAGCTGTCTCTTGCACACCCCCTACTGGGGATATGCCTGCAACCAAGGTACATGCCTTTGACCGGAATCAAACCCGGGACCCTTCAGTCCCCAAGCCGACGCTCTATCCATTGAGCCAAACCGGTTTCGGCTATTTTTAAATTTTTATTTAAAAAGGAAGATGGTCTTCCGGAAGCCTGTTTCAGTTGATCATGCTTGTGTCTAATGCTCAGTACTAGGATCTGTAAATAAAATTGGAATTCATTGAACAGATGTTAAACACCTATTCTGGGCACAGAACTCTCTTTGGCACCTAGAGGTTTCAAAAGAACTCAGGAAAAGGTTTGGAACTTATATTTATTGAGACTGACTGCATTTGCAGGCACTTTACATACATTTCCTCATGGAAGTGTTCCCATAACTTTATAAGATAGACCCATTCTTTCCATTTTAAAGATGAGGAAACTGGGGCCGAGACAGGTGATACTGCCTGCTTAAGGTTATAAATAAATAAATGGTGGAACCAAGAGTTTGTGTAACTCAAAAACCTCCTTTTCATTGCTCCACATGTCATCAGGAGCCATTTCCCCCCTCAAAAACCAACCTTACAAAGCAATTTTAGTTTGATATTTCCAGGTACTTGCCCTTAAATCTGTTATCTCCAGTTAGGTATGAGAAACCAGGAGATAAAGGTGATATCAGAGATGGAGCTACTTGAGATTTTTTTCTTTAATTTCACCAATTATTAAGTTACTGATTTATTCAACAGAAGTATTTATTGAGTACCCTATTGTGTAAGTACTGAGGCAATAATAGCATTGATTTTACTGATATGTAAGAGCAACAGCAGGCTGAAACCGGTTTGGCTCAGTGGATAGAGAGTTGGCCTGTGGACTGAAAGGTCCCAGGTTTGATTCCGGTCAAGAGCATGTACCTTGGATGCAGGCACATCCCCAGTAGAAGGTGTGCAAGAGGCAGCTGATCGATGATTCTCTCTCATCGATGTTTCTAACTCTCTATCCCTCTCTTTTCCTCTCTGTAAAAAATCAAATATATATATATATATATATATATATATATATATATATATATGTGTGTGTGTGTGTGTGTGTGTGTGTGTGTGTATATATATATGTGTGTGTGTGTGTGTATATATACACACACACACACATATATATACACAACACACACACACACACACACACACACACATATATATATATATATATAAAGCAACAGCAGGACACTGTGAAAAGGTTAGTTTTGGGACCCAAATAAACAAATCTTTTGGGAGAAAGATGAGTTTAATTTTAGTTATTCTGAATTTGTGAAAAAAAAACCAGCAAGAATTGTCTGAAGGCAGCAGACCTAGTAGCCATCTAAATTTTTCTGCTTAGATACCATTCCCCATTCCATTTTCTTTTAAATAATATTACTTCCTTTATCATGCCTCATTCCCTCATTATAGACTAGAATAAGTATATGACCTAGGCCTAGCCAATCAGAACAGGCATTTCTATACAGTGATTGGTTCAGGGAAAGGCATATGACCAGTGCCAGGCCAATTAGGTTCAATCTTTGTTTTTATGCTGGAACTATTGGGAAAGCTGTCTTTCTATCTAGGTTACTAAGGTAATAAGATGTAAGCCTGTTGTTGCTGGGGGCAACTTGTCCTGATAAAAATGGAAAGCTTTCTGAAGAAGAAGCCCATAAAAAGTAAAGCAAAGCAAAGCAAAGCAAAGCAAAAAAAAAAAAAAAAAAAAAAAAAAAAGGAGTAAAGCCCATTCCTTTTTAGGCACCTCCATACAGCTATGGCTAAAGCCCCATACCCCTGAACTTTTCAGTTATGCTACCTAATAAAATTCTCATTTTAGATGTAGCTCAGTTTTAGCCAAGTTTATGACAAAAGAACCCCGAATAGAGTTGACTTGACAAATCTAGAGCTAACGAGAGAGATCTTGGCTGGAGATTGAGGTCCTTTCTGGCTTGATTGTTCCCTGAAGGGGAGAATCACTAAAGATTATTGAACCCTCCCCAGGAGTGACACGATCAGAAGTGCAGGGTGTGCCCGGCCAGCATGGCTCAGTGGTTGAGTGTTGACCTATGAACCAAGAGGTTATGGCTCAATTCCCTGTCAGGGCACATGCCCAGGTTTCAGGCTTGATCCCTAGTGGGGGGCATTCAGGAGGCAGCCTATCTATGATTCTCATCATTGATGTTTCCATCTTTCCCTCTCCCTTTCTCTCTGAAATCAATAAAAATAACATATATATGTATCTATATTATGTATATGAAGTGCATGGATTGGGATTGAGTGGGAGGCAGAGACAGGAAGAAGAGCTACTCTGTTTCCCCGAAAATAAGACAGTGTCTTATATTAATTTTTTTCTTCCAAAGTTGTGCTAGGTCTTATTTTCAGGGGATGTCTTATCTTTCTATGCGCTAGGTCTTATTTTCGGGGAAACACGGTAGAAGCCTATGGGTAATACAGATAAGAAAGAATAAAGGCTTAGTCTACAGTGGTGCTGACAGGAATTGTGTGATGGAATTTGAAAGATACTTAGGAGGGGGGACATAAAACATTTGATCACCATTTGGAAGTAAGAGGAAGAGGGGGAGGTGATGGGTAGCTCCTGAGCTTCTACCTTGGAGACTGGATGAAAGGCAGTACTATTCTTGGAGAATGACATTGGGAGGAGAGCAGGCAGATGGAGAAGAGATGATGAGTTCAGCATAGAAAATGCTGAAGGTGAAGTCCTTGCAGGACATCTATCTGGAAGCAAATGTCTGGAATAGAGAGGAACACCTGGGCCTGGAGCTCAGAAGAGAGAAAAGACAGTATTACTCTATTACTCCAAACTTGGAGTGGTTATCTCCCAGTTTTGTGGGTATATATTTGTTGATTTCAGAGAGGAAGGGAAAGGGAGTTAGAAACATCAATGGTGCCAAAACCGGTTTGGCTCAGTGGATAGAGTGTCAGCCTGCAGAATGAAGGGTCCCAGGTTCGATCCTGGTCAGGGGCATGTACCTTGGTTGTGGGCACATCCCCGGTGGGGGGTGTGCAGGAGGCGGCTGGTAGATGTTTCTCTCTCATCGATGTTTCTAACTCTCTATCCCTCTCCCTTCCTCTCTGTAAAAAAAAATCAGTAAAATATATTTAAAAGTACAAAAGAAAACATCAATGGTGAGAGAAAATCATTGATCACCTGCCTCCTGCATGCCCCACAATGGAGATCAAGCCCGCAACCCAGGTATGTGCCCTGACCGGAATTGAACTGTTACCTCCTGGTTCATTTATCAACACTCAACCACTGAGTCACGTTGGCCAGGTAAATATATCTGTTTTCCACAGGATTTGCTGTGGGGTGCCCAACACTTGATTCTAGGGTGTGGCAGGCTAGAAGCTAGCTGGACACAGCCACGGTTCTGGATAAGAGGATGATGGGGCAATGCCACAAGGTAGCACTACCAGGTTGAGAACATAGGAGGCCACGTTAGACAGCAGGCTGGCCCAGCTGGGCCAAAGGACTCGTGCTTTGAAGCAGTGCTTGGAGACATGGCATTGAAATGACCACACAGGTACGATGGCAAGTTCCTTGGAACCTTAGTGCACAAGCTTGGCATATAGTATAGGTTCCCAGCAATGCAGGTGACCGGGGACTCATCTGGAATTTTGTACAGATTAGGGCAGGGTCTGTATTAACTCACCGCAGTACTCCCTGAGTTGAGAACTCCCTCTGCTGCCATTCTTTCACCCTGAGATCTTCTTCCTTATTTGTTTATCCATTCAACAATTTTTACTGAGTGCTTAGCACTATGTTGAATGGTGAACAAAACAGTCATGATCCCACCCTCATAGGGTTTACAGACATTGAGTAATCACAGATCACACAAATAAATAACACAGGTTTTGATAAATGCATTTATATGGGGCCAGGAGAAAACAGGGGCTTCCAATCTCTAGGTTGGGAGAGACAGGCATTCCCAGCTGAGCTGGAAGGGGAAGCCCAGGGTAAGTGTGCCCATGGTCACACAGTGAATCAGGGCAATGCTGGGACAGAACTGGCACTCCTGACCCTGAATAATGAACCTGGTTCAGACTGGAAACTACCAGGACACATCTTCCCAACCCTCTCCCTGATACCTCCTGATTCCAGGGCTACTCCCTCTGGAAAAAATTATTTTAATTTGCAGCTTTGACTTTTGATGCCCATAAGGCTTCCTATTGTCCCCTCTCACCCCCTCCAGGCGCGGTGTGGTCTAATTAGGTTGGCAGGGGCTGGTGGTCAGGGCCAGATAACCAGGAAGTTGTGGAAGGGGAAAGAATTTGGGGCTGTCAGAGTGGGAGTAACTATAGAAGAGCCAGGCTAGTGAGGGCTGAACCAGAGAAGCGAGGCCTGCCGGGCTGGTAAGGGCTAAGACTCAAGTGCAGGCACTGGGAGGAAGAGAGAGTGAAGCAGAAGGATGCTCTAATGCCAGGAAGTGACGTTGAGGGAAAGAAGGGTGGGGGATGGAGGGTGGGGGATGAAGAACAGCTGGGCCACATGGACAGCGGAGAGAGCACTTAGGGAAGACATGCTCCGAGAGCTTTTGGCCCTCAGGTCTCCCCCAAGCACTGTCTCCTCCCTCCCTACTCCCACCCCTGCAGTCTCTGCAGAGGGCTGAAGAGAACACAGTAAAATTCTGGAGCCTGCTTCTAGGGCACCTTCCTAACATCCCGGCCTGATCCATGGCTCTGGTGGGGGTGAGGGAAACCACAGGGCAGCAAAGGCACTCTGGTCCCCAAGGACTTTGAGAGGTCATTCAGTTCACCCCCCTGTCTCCCAACACCCAGCACACACACACAGGCAGAATCATGTTCTCTCTATCCCTCCCTGGCCATGAAGACAGCCTCAGCTTCTCCCCCATGGTCCCTCCTTCCCACAATCCCTGGCTGTGGGAAGTTCTTAAGACCTAGCCTCTATTCATCCTGCTGTAATCTCTGACTTGGTTTCTTCTATCCTGTTCTCTGTGACTGGAGAAAAGCCTCTTCTGGGTGATGACAGCTGTGCCTCAGGATCTCCCCTCCAACATTCCTTCCTTGTCCTTTGGTTCTTCCCAAAAGGCAACCCCCATCCCTCCTACTGCAGTCTCTGGCATCCCTCTCCCTTGTCGCATCCTAGGACTCCAAAGGCAGAGATGCGCTCCCAGCCCCATCAGATAATTAACAGAAAAAAAAGGAGAAGAGAAAGGTCCAGGAGGAAGGGAATACATTCGGGAGATGGAGCCTGGGAGGTGATGCTCGGTGCGGATGAAGGACCAGGGGCATCCCAGGGGGCAGGGATGAGGGTGGGGGTGCGGGGGGATGAGGGCAGCGGGCCTCACCTGTATCGGGGTCTCCCAAGAAGGCGTCCTCGTCCTTGCGGCCCCTTAGAGGGGCCGCGGGAGCCGGCTCATCCTCCGGCAGCCGCGGGAAGCTGGTGATGCTCATGTAGTCCACCGGCGAGTAGGCGCCCAGAGCGCTCTCCTGACTGGCCTGGTTCTCCGCCGCCATCCTCACCCGCGCCCCCCAGCAGCGCAGCGCCTGCCGGAAGTGGTGCGGGGGGTGGGGTGCGGGGGGTGGGAGGGGCCTGCGCTCCCGGGTCGCCGGGAGGGGGCGCCTCACCCCCACCCTAGCGCCTGTCGGGTCTGCCTCGCTCCCGCCCCGCTCGGCGCTGCCAGCTCGCAGCAGGCGCGCAGGTGGAGAGCGGGTTGTGTTTGCAGAGGCCGGAGGGCAGTTCCGGGTGGCGAAGTGGGAGAGAGGGGAGAAGAGCACGTTGCAAGCGCGATCTCAGTGATCCAGGACACTTTATGCAGCCCCGGGGGCCAGATCCCCTCTTCCAGTTAGAATCCCCCTTTGAGACCTCGGTCTCTTCCACGGGCCGTAAACCTCTCCTCGACCCCGGTTCTTCCTCTGATCCCAGACTCCCCAGATCCCAGACCCTTTCGTGGATTCCAAGGTCCTTTTCCTCCGATGTCAGACTCCTCTTCCTCCTCCTCCTCCTTCTTCTCCTCCTCCTCCTCCTCCTCTTCGTCCTCCTCTTCCTTTTCCTCCTCCTCCTCCCCCAGATTCTTCTTTCGACCTTACCCCGCCCCTTGCCCCTGCCCCCCTCCAGCACCTGCTTCATCCTCAGACTGCGTCCCTCCTTTGGACATCCTTTCTCATCTCAGGCGTCAGATCCCTCACTGGACCCCCCACGTTTCTCAGACGCCTCTTCCAAGCCCAGCCCCTTCTGGTACCTCTGACCTAAACTCAGTGTGTATTAGGATCCCTAAGAGCCAACGCCCAGATTCCACTCTGGAGAGCAGGATTCAGGACTCTGAGACGGGGGTGGGGTGGGGGTGTGAGGGTGTGTGGGGGTGTGTGTGTCTCTGGAACCTGAATATTTACTATAATTTTAAGAGTTTTTGAAGTGGTTCTGGAAAGAGTGCTGTAAGAAAGGAACAATGGTCATGAAGGTATGGCAGGAGTGGGGGCGCGGGTCAATGTAGTCTAGGTGTTTGTGTTCTATTTCCTGTACTACTACTTACAAACTGTGAGGTCTTGGGCAAGACACTTATCTTCTTCAGTATCAGTTTCCTCATCTGAAAACTGGAGAGATTAATAATAAAATCTCAGGGGGTTGTTGTGAGGATTAAGTAACAGGGAGAAAGCTTTTAGTGTAGGTCTTGGCCCTACTCAATAAATGCCATTATTACCATTTGCATGTCTTTAATCTTGTGGATTCTCATCTCATTCTACTCTTAGGAATTCCGATTACACGATAGCTTGCATTACTTTCCCATCTCCAAGGATTAGGGGTTCAGTCTTTATTAGGCTTCTTGTCCAAACTTCCTTCATGCAGTTCACAGGGAGGGAGAGGGAGGGGGCTGGTCAAGCCCCTGGGCATGCATCCCCTCTTTCACTCCAGGACAGTTTGAAAATCTACTGGGGATAGGGGTAAGGGGAAGTGGGGTTGGAGGGGAAGGTGGGGGGATCTATTATGGGCCCCGAACATGCATTGATACCTGTAGACAGAAGGGGGCAGTAATGGGTTGGGAACAGCTCTAGGACTTGGGAGAAGGTTTGGAGAGGGGAAAGGAAGAGGGCTGCCCAAAGCTGTGACTGTCCACACCTGGAACTGCGTGCCCATTGCTGGTGCTTTTCTCCCCACAGAGAAGCTAGTATCTTCTCAGTGAAGTCCATAAGGGTTATTATGCTTCAGTAAAATATTATCCCCCCTGTAGGGCATGTCTTAACTAAATGAGGTCTGTGTCCCGTCATTGATGTCCATTCCCTCCTTCAGTGGGGTCAATATATTTTTAGTAAAATCTATATCTTTAGTATCTCCTAGAAGGAAATCCATGTCCCCTCAGTAGGGTAAGTGACCTCTATAATCCATTAAAGTTTTATTAGCAGGGTCCATAGCCCTTTGGTGAGAACTGAGACCTCCCCTCCCCCCAGCAAGATCTGTGCTCCCTTCGTGGAGTCCATGTACCTTCAGTGAAATGTGTGTCTGCTGAGTGTAATGTCTCTTCAATAAAGTGTCTGTCTTCTCTGTGGGGTCCATGCTCACCCCATGAGATCTGAGACCCTCCCCTCAGGACTGGGTAGGCTCTGGATCATAGGTTTGAACGTGGACATATTATTTTCTGTTTAAGGTGTGCCGGGTTTGTCGTTAGCTGGGCAGAGAACAAGGGAACAGGTGGGAAAGGAGGATGGGCCTGTTGTCACAAACCCTGTGTAGGCTTCAGGAGATGGGGGTTGTCAGCTTTGGGCCTCAAAATCACTCTTAGAGCTAAATATTTAAGGTTCCTTCTTGCCTTGACAACCACTTTGTGAACGGATGGATGGAGTGGGCTTTTCTTGGTGGTTAGTGCAGGTGGGAGACTGAGGGTCCTGCCTGGCCCCTCCTTTCTGGAGTGGAACAGATAGAGAGAAGCTAGTGGTAATTGAGCCCAGGTGTGGCAGGCGGGCGTGGTCGCTTGGTAAAGTCAAGAGACCGGGAAGGAAAGAAGGATATGAGTGATTTCTCCTATTTGCACAGCCTTTGGTACAGGATTTCACAAGCCTTGGCTTGTGAGGAGGTTAAAAAGACTTGGAGTCAAGAAACTAAGGTTTGGCCCTAACTTGGTCGTTGTTTTGCTCTGTGACCTTGCACACATTCCTTTTTCCCAACTATACCATTTGTGCAATGAGGAGGTAGGTTTATTAGCAAAGACCTGAACACACCTCCTAATCTTCAATGAATCTTGTACGTTAGAGCTGAATGGGACTTTGTGGAGCCAGGGAGAGTGAAGATATATCCTCAGGGGTGTGAGAAAATCTGAGCTAGCACAAACGGTAACAGAGAGGGGCCATGCCCTACGCGTTCGTGGGAGGATTTTTTTTTTTTTCCCCTTGAGGACGCGGAGGGGAAGAGTTTACTTTGAGGGAAAGTGATCCCAGAAGATACAAAAAAAAAAAAAAAAAAAAAAAAAAAAAAAAGCCACACCCTACTCCACCAGGCTTTTCAACTCTGTGGGCGACAGGCTTGTGCAATCAGACCTCGGGGAGACTCCACCTTGAACTTGACTCTCTCTGTTAGTCAAGCTTTTTCCCGCTCAAGCCCCGCCTTAACCCAACCTGTCATCTGCCAGCCCCAAGCCCCACCCCATCCCGGCCACTGCATGTGCCCGCCTCCTCTCCTGTCACGCCTGCCACCCCTCTGTCAATACAAAATCCTCCCCCACCCCCTCTCCTGCCACACCCGGCCTCGCCCCTTCTCCTTTTAAGCTACGGCCCCACCCCTTATGCGGAGAGCACCTCCCCCAGTACCTGAGCCGTGCTCCCAGTTCCCCTATTCCTGCCTCCGCCGACCTGGTCCGGCTCCCAGAAGGCGTGGCCCCGGCCCTCCGGGCAGCCCCGCCCCTCCCCGCCCACACAGGCCCCGCCCACACAGTCCCCGCCCCCCATCCCAAGGCCCCACCCCGGGCGGCCTGTTTTTCGCCCCCGACAACCGCAAAAACGGTTAGTGCGCTCGGAGCTGGGCGCTATGGGGCTTCCTGAGGAGCGGGGCCGGAGCGGCGGCGGCGGCGGGGCCCGGGAGGAGGCTGGCGCGCCCAGCCGGCCGCGGAGCTGGTCGCCGCCGCCCGAGCTCCGCCGCGCCGCGCACGTCGCCTCGCTGCCGCGCTACCGCGAGCTGCACCGGCGCTCCGTGGAGGAGCCGCGAGGTGAGGCCGCGCCCGCGCGCCCCGGGGCGGGGGGGACACGTCAGCGGGGAGGGGAACGGCTCCCCGGGAAGGGAGGGGTTGGGCGCGCTCCGTGAGGGGTCGGGGTGGGGGAACGGGGTTCCGAGAGGAGATGGGGTTTCCTAGAGGCGTTGGGGAACCCCCCTCGGGAAGTGGAGGGGTCCGTGAGGAGATGCAGGTTGTGGGTGAGGAGAGTTGCGGAGCAGATGGACTAGGGGTTCGGGAGGAGATGGACCAGGGGTTGGGGGCGGGGGGGGAGACGGGGATTCTCTGAGAAAGGGGGGTTCCGTTGTGGGAGGAGGTGAGGGCTCCCTAGGCGTTGGAGGGCTTTCCTGGCGACTTGTGGGGGTTTCCTGAGATGTGGGGGTCCTGTGAGGCGAGTGAAAGTTTCACGAGAAGAGGGAGACTCCTAAGGGGGAAAGTGGGGTTCCCAGGGGCGAGGGGGCACCTTGAGGAGAGGAGGCCCCGAGGGGAGCATGCCTTGCCCGCCCGGCTCACACCAGCCCGGCTGCTGCCTCCCGACACCGGAGCGAGTGAGTTCGTCTCCGCTGCTGAGGGGCGGCAGGAACTGGTCTGTTTCCTGTCCTGGGGTTCCCACAATTGGTAATTAAGTCCCAGATCTATTTTTAATATTTCAGAAATATTTAAATTATCCCAATTCAAGACTGAACAAGTCACATTTCAGTCAAGGTGGTTTTTTTTTTTTTTTTTTTTTTTTTTTTTTTTTTTTTTTTTTTGTGTGTGTGTGTGTGTGTGTGTGTGTGTGTGTGTGTGTCCCATGAGCGGGGCTGGAAATAACTCAGAAATTCTGATAGGCAAGTGCATGTCTTTAAGAACGTGTGAGCAAAGTTGCCTGGCCTTGTCCCTCAGCCTGAGGAAGGCATCAACACTGTTGAAGGCAGCATGGTGTTTGGCACTGGCACAAGCCAGGAATCCAACCCAGAAAAATCTAGATTTAGATTCTGGCTTTACCACTCATTTACTGGATGGTCTTAGGCAGATTTTTAAGATATATATATTTATTTAAGGTGGAAATGTATTGAGAAACAAGCACAGACTCCCACGTGGGGAGGGACAAGAGTCCCACAGCACAGACTCTCACGTGGGGAGGAGGGAGAGTCCCCTTAGCAGATTTTTAAAGTCTTTCTGATATTCCTTTTCTTTATCTGTAAGTTAGGGATAATAATGCTTGTTTCATAGTTTTGTATGATGACAAAAGTGGGTAATAAGTGAAGTGTGCATTATAGAATATCTGGTGCACATAGATAGTCAATAAATGATTGTTGGTTTGATAATAAAAGCGACATAGATAAAGCCATTACTGAATAATGCAAGACAGGATTGAATCAAGTGTAGAGCCATT